CTGGATATAGGGGAAAACACACAAACAAGGTCGGTGTCTAGGCAGCTCGAGGTAGCGTGCTCAATACCCAAATGCGCAGAGCAGTACACGCACGCAACGCGCGTGTGAAACTTAACGTAACAGCTACACAGCCTTTCGCCTCTGTTGCGTGGGGAAACACACAACACATATTCAAGACAAATTTCCTTAAAAGCTGAAGCTATGGACCCCTGCTGTCCTGCTCGCGTCTTTTCACCTCTCGTGATATTGCAGAATACACGGTACAGTAAAGCAGTAGTAAAACATACGATGGACACTACCATCATACTGTTTTCTTCGTAAAGGATACAAAAAACTGACATGTTGCAACTTCTGCGATAGTGGTAGAAGAAGGTGGCTGCTCCACACATTGGAGCTCGCGCTTCCTGCCGACTGTAAAAGTACTTCTTTCACGACCCTTCTCCAGTGATTGACCCTTTATATGCAGCACTTTGGCTGTAAAGTCCTGATACAGTTTGGCCCCTTTGAGGTACATTGTACTGATGCTTCACTGTACAGACAACTTTGCTGATAACGACTGCGGATATAACGACAATTCGCGAACAACGACAGCATTTCCATGCCCAGAGCAAAGTCCCATCTAACTGTGATACATATAATGAGACTTCAGGCATAACGACACTTCGCGAATAACGACACTTCTCTGATGCCCGGCCGAGTGTCGTTATACGCAAAGTTGACTGTATTTGCAATGCAAGAAACAGGGCAACTCCACTGCATGGTACTCTGATGTGTGTACCTGTCAGTCGGTACTTGGGGGGCGGGCGGGCGGGGGGGGGGGGGGAGTATGGGTTTTGGTAGGGGTAGGGTAGAGGTGGGGTAGGGGGGAGTTTGGGTGGGGGAGTTTGGGTGGTGGGGGGAGTTTGGGTGGGGGAGTTTGGGTGGTGGGGGGAGTTTGGGTGGGGGAGTTTGGGTGGTGGGGGGAGTTTGGGTGGGGGAGTTTGGGTGGTGGGGGGAGTTTGGGTGGGGGAGTTTGGGTGGTGGGGGGAGTTTGGGTGGGGGAGTTTGGGTGGTGGGGGGAGTTTGGGTGGGGGAGTTTGGGTGGTGGGGGGAGTTTGGGTGGGGGAGTTTGGGTGGTGGGGGGAGTTTGGGTGGGGGAGTTTGGGTGGGGGAGTTTGGGTGGTGGGGGGAGTTTGGGTGGGGGAGTTTGGGTGGTGGGGGGAGTTTGGGTGGGGGAGTTTGGGTGGTGGGGGGAGTTTGGGTGGTGGGGGGAGTTTGGGTGGGGGAGTTTGGGTGGTGGGGGGAGTTTGGGTGGGGGAGTTTGGGTGGTGGGGGGAGTTTGGGTGGGGGAGTTTGGGTGGTGGGGGGAGTTTGGGTGGGGGAGTTTGGGTGGTGGGGGGAGTTTGGGTGGGGGAGTTTGGGTGGTGGGGGGAGTTTGGGTGGGGGAGTTTGGGTGGTGGGGGGAGTTTGGGTGGGGGAGTTTGGGTGGTGGGGGGAGTTTGGGTGGGGGGAGTTGCCGATGGGTGATAGTGAAGCAGTAGTAGCGCAGTCACAGTGCCCCGTTGAGAACCGCCATGAATTGACATAGAAGTCATGAAAGGGGCTGTGTGCACTGTCCTATCACTGCCGAAGAAGATTGACTGCAATACACCAGTGTTCTACTGAATGCTGAATAACTCCGCAATCATGCACCACAACTCAAACCCCAGTGCCCCGGCAAAGGTGTGGAGCAAGTCAATAAGCTGTCAAGCACCACTCATGTGCAGGATGTGTTCGCCAGGACTACTGCCTACTGATAATCTACATGTAGGAGGTCTGGGGAGGACTGACAGCAGTGCTCAGAAGCTAATAAGGTCTACTGTCCAGAGTGCTCAGAAGCTAATAAGGTCTACTGTCCAGAGTGCTCAGAAGCTAATAAGGTCTACTGTCCAGAGTGCTATTCAAGAAATAAAAATAAAGAAATGAAATAGCTGTGGCCAGGGATATGTCTACACTCTACAGACATCCTTATGGTTATGTCAGTCAGCGCATATGACAACAACCTGCAAGCCGGGGTGTGTGAACATGTCGTAGCAAGTGCTATTCAAGGGGTAGATTGATAAAGTCAACCCATGGCCGCATACTGGAGGCATAGCAAAAGTAAGATTCACTTTTAAAACGCCCCTCCATGGATCACTTGCTTCTTCCCAGTGTCCTTGCCCTATTTCCCTACGACATTTGCACACCCCATTCTGCTTTGATGTGTACAATGTCAATGTGGCTGCACCACTAACAACACATCAGGGAATAATTTACTTTCGATTTTTGAATAGCAAATTTGCTACGCAGAATCAAACTTGAACAACAATTCCAAAAGGGTGCGTAGCAATTTTCTTGAACACTTGACAACATTGTCTTTCTGCAGAGCTGACCAGAGTGCAATCTCAGACCACAAGAACACTCTAACTTCGCACCTCCGAAGAATTGCGTAGCAAACTGCGATGCGATACCAGTTAGACTATTCCCCGACAACACACACATTCCGAGTCATGTTCTCTCCATGTTGGCCAAGTCACCAGGGACAGTGGGAAAGACTCATCACAAGACCAATAATTATAAGTACTGCTAAATCCATTGCAGTTGTGAAAGGCTAGCTCTGTCCCACTGTAACTCTGCTAGTGTACAGGACATTGTACTGTAGTGTAGGTACGTACAGGTACTAGGTGTGCAGTAATACAACTACTGATAATTTATAATTTAAAAAATTATTACTGACATCATGAGCAGACAAAGCCTAGGCCTGCAATTTTTCTTGGCATGTTTTCGCTGAGCCACTGCCATGGCAGAACTGACACATGTGGCGTCACTGCCCTGCTGCAGGCATGTAGCACCAGTGAACGCTGGTCATGTTTTGCAGGTCACAACAAACATCACAGCACAGCACTCCTAGTCCTAGCTGCGTGACATGATACAGAGAAGGAAGGTCACACAAGCCAGGCTCATCAGCTGGTGCCGTCCAGTACAAGAGCAGCGGTACTGTTGTTGATGAAATCAATCAGGACCTGCGTGCGCAAGAGAGCTAGAGCGAGAGAGCATCTGGCCGATTGGACGTCACAGTCCGCGAGCGCACAAGGGAAAGCTCTACTGGCCAGCGTCAAGCGCAGTTTCCATTGTTTTCACTGCACAGCAAATGTACCGGTACATCGCTCTACATGCTGACACCGTCTCACGTGCAGCTGCTGTCACAACGTCCGAGACCGAATGGGTGCAAACACCTATCGAGAGTAGATCGACTTGGGCTGTTTCGAAAGCGAAGAAATAAACTGTGGGGCTAGCGTGTTATGCTGTGGGTTTCAATATCTGTTTCCGCGTCCCATACTCTTCGGGCAGGCATTGGACTTGCAACCTGTTGCACCAACACGACCGCATGTTACAGACTCAGACTTCATAATAATTATGGACCCATACGAAAGGGACGTAGATCCGTTGCATGTAAAAGCAATGGGGTCAGGAAGACGAGGAACACAGAATCACGACAGGCAAGTACAGTACTCAGTAGTACTAGTAGTAGGCGACCGACAACGGTTACATGTTCAGTACAATTTTACTATTCAAGTGCTCACCCAAAAATAGATAGATTCCTGCTCGTCCAGCCCGCCCAGGAGGTAGTGTGCTCGACAATGCTTCACTGAGAAGTAGGGTGTACTGTTCGTTTCGCGCACCACCTAACTTGTCCACCTCCACTGCGCCCTACAAGTACAAGTGTAGGTCCTCCCAGAATTTTCCACCACTGCCTGACACAGCGCTGCAGCGAAGCCAGCACTCAAATCACGGCCCTGCTAGCTAGGTACATGTGACAGCAAGGCGTGTATGCGCCTGACGTACTATCAAAGTCAAAATAAACGAAGTTTGCCAAGCCTGTGATCACTGGGTCGGCCGGATCTCCGTAGCTACACGGCCGGTACGGATGGATATTTGAAGTGATAAATAACAAACCAACAAACTGAACAACATTACTAAAGAGGCAGGCGAGGAGATCTCAAAGATCAGCTGCAGGGGCTAGATCGGGATACCCGCGATACGAAAGGGATACGAAGGGATTGAAACGGCATGCGCAAGTACAAGCTAGCTGGTCAGAATCGGATCGGGCCGGGGTCAAGCCGTACGAGAGTCCCAAAATGATCCGATATGTCAGACTCGTACTCGCAGTCGACTGTATGTAGACCATCTTTGACATCTGGACATTTTGTGTGTAGATCGCGATATCGTCGAGTCTACTCGTAGCACTAGCGCAGCGCAAAGGACCTATAAGGGCAGGTACTCAGTTGGCCGGGAATGGGACTGAATGCCACAGTACGAGTACTGTGTGTATTTCAGGCCCCAAATCGCAGGTGCGCACTATGCTCCGAATATGAAAGTGCATGATTGTGCATGCACTTTGAGAATTAGTGCAATGACTATGTATCCAACGACGCGAAGTTTGCCGCCTCTGAACCGGAGCAAACCATAATTACTGTGTGCATTTCTAGTGTCTACAGCCAGCTACACTGCTAACACATGATTGGTTATAAGAACCCCATCGGTAGCATGTGCATTATAAATGGAAAATGGTTGATATTGTACTGTCGATGATGCTCTCAAATCTAGGCTGCGCATTACACTCCGGATACGCCTTGAATCGCCAAAAACGATACTCAAAAGAAGGGGTACGCATAATGCTCAGGTGCGCGTTCTACCCCGGCAAATACGGTCTGTCCGCGAATGTCCTTTCACGCTCCCACCGGTCCTGGCTCATATGAATTATGATCATGCGTGCACGCACTGCACGATGCGGCTCTGCGCATTGACAGCCCGCGCTGTCGACATGTCGACATGTCTCTTGACTTGAGCTTGGGGTTCAGCAGATCCAACCCGAACCGAGCGTGTGTGTGCGCTGCACTTTCTCTGCACCCAACCGTGCACCTCGGATCTGACGCGCATCGGATCCGGTGTGCGCATCCGGGCAAGTGCCCACTTCCAAAGTTCCCCTATCTGAAAAGTCC